TGTCCCAGCTCCAGATGATGAAGATGACGGCAGTGGCATGGGTTGGGTAAAGAAAAGGAGACTCGAAAGAGAACGTCTTGCTAGGGAGAAAGAGGCGGCCGAGACAGATTCAAGACGCACAAGTACCGACGGATCTTCCGCCATGGGCAGTACAAGCACTGATCTATCCACTCTCGCTACTTCTTCAGCTCCTACAACTCCTACTAGCACAACAGATACTCTCCCACCCCCAACTCAAGATTACATCTTGGAGGCCGTTAGATTGAGTCCTACCCCATCACCACAAACGCATCCCTCCCGTGGTCGATACTACACACTCCCAAATCGAGCCTGCCAAGAACAGCCCAAGCCCAACCAGTGAGAGCAGCAGCGATGAAGATGACACCCCTAAAGAAGACGATTCAGACGAGAGCGAGGTCGAGGAGACAGAGGTGCGTCTCTTATCTCTCCCTTCTCCCACCCGTCTCACCTTCCATTAGGATCACCGAAAGACATCCTTAGGTGCTGGTGTCGAGAAGATAAGCAGGCACAAAGAGGCCGTCCATTGACGTGCCTGTCCTTAGAGGGACATTCGCCCCGACCGCTCTTCCAATATACTTCGCTGTCCATATCCCTTTGCTCTGTTGCTCTTCTTGTCCATGCCGTCCATTTGCTCTATCCTCGCCATCACATCATCGCTCAATTCCTGTACATATTCTGTTGCGCCGCCCCATGACGCGTCCATCACAGCCCCCCGTAATACTACTACTTATCCCTGCGTAAATCGCTCATATTTTTTATCACTCCCGGATTCCATGGGGTATACCGCTGTCCTCACTACACCGGCGCCGTCTCTTCGACGTGGGATGATGTCTCTCGCGGATTATCATGGAAGGCGGGCATTCATCGAGTCCTCGTGGTCTGGAGATTGATTAATGGTCGTCTAAGGTACTTCTCCTCCATATCTGATGCGCAGCCTGTACTGAAAATGGACCATCGTCCTCGCAATAGTGCCGTTTTTATCCTCGCATGCAGTACTTTTTGGTCCTCGCGTCTAGCGTCAATTTGATCCTCATCCCGTGTCGTCATCCTTCTTCATCTCCGCTCGGTCGTATTCGTATCCGACGTGCAAGGTCTCTGTTGGCCGTTCAGAACTAGATCCAGAACTAGAACCTGGTGTCATCAGTTCATTTTATCGTCACGTCCACAAGTACTTTGACGACTTCTTGCCGGCCGATGTTTCGTGGACATCCCCGGACAATTATCATTATCTCCATCAAGTCAAGTAGAGATTCTCCATCAAGTGGAGGTTTTCTATCGAATCTCCATCTCCCATCTTCGACTCCGACCGGGGCAGGGTTCGGCTTTATGTTTCGAACCCGGATTGGCAATGATACCGTTAGCGATAGTTTTTGTGACTTTCCCTTTCATCGCAAAACCCCCCGCTCCATCTCCATCTCCATATCCATGCTATATGCCCGATCGACTTCGGCATCTCCCTTTGTCCTCAATCGCCACTCATACACCATGTATCCCCCTACATATCTAACTTGTATCCAACAACAATCGTATTGCCTGCTTAACATGGGCATCGCCGATGTACGTCCTATCTAACATTGCATGAATCCTGACAGTGAAGCTTATCGCGCTTGTCTTTCACAGTGCACTTGTCTCGTCTCGTCACTGTACTACGGTGCTGAGAGGAGCCATGTCGCTCCTGTCTCGTCTCGTCTCGTCTCGTGTTGTGCTTTGATTTCTTTCCTTGTCCAATCGCTTCATCTCATCTCAACTTGACTTTTTATTTCATCATGGATTATACGTCGCAATGCATTAGTTATACCCTCAGCAGTTTAGCTCCATCTCGTGTTGTCTTTTTTTTGTCTCTTTCTTTTTTTCCTTTGTGACGATGAGGTATATGTTTTTTGATGTAGATGCTGGGCATACTGGGGCCCATCTGTAGGGGAGGGGGTTGGGTGATTCTATAGTGTAAATCTCGTCACGACGATGAGAATGCATATTGATAACATAATATACACATAACACATATCACTACTGTGCAGTGCGGGAGAACTCCCTCTAAGCAAGTGTCATACATGAAATATTTATATCTGGATATCGTAAGGTGATCTGATAAGATCAGGGAGTAGACACAGCGCCCATATGCATTGTCTGCAGGGGTAAGACACCTCCCAGAAGTCATCCCATAGGCGTGTTGATTTAATATAAGACAAGACGCGAAAAGAAGGCCCTAGCGCTCATGTCCATAATTCAAAATCTAATATTATACAGCACGCTCAATCGGGTTTAGGACGATGATTCACCTGAAGCTCCACTTAAATTTTTGAACCGAATGCTCAAACTTCGATGCGCACTCGTTTATAGCAATACTTGATATGAGAAAAGAAGTGTCCAAGTCTAAGATTATATGTTACAGGGTAGGAGCAACGCCTGAAACTTTGAAGCGAGTGTAGAAGGCGTATTATATGTCATACTTCGCGTAGGGTCGGAGGAGCGAGGAGCCGCGGTATGATGACGAGGTCTTGACGCGGTTTTTTTGTTTGAAAATAAAAATAAGAGATCCGAGATTCATTTGTGTTCGGCGTGTTGGATGGTGACGTGACGTTGTTCGTTTAGTGTCTGGACTGGACTGGTGCTACAACTGGGGTCTAGCGGAGTTAAGGAGTTCCTGGATGACGGAGGGATGAAAATCGTCGTCGCCAATGTTTGTATGCGTCCAGTTAGAGATAGCAGCAAATCTAGTGGTTGTGTAGGCAGCCCGATGACCGCAAGGCACTACGACCTTCAAAGGCTCCGAGGTCGGTCGTGATACTGATGAACGTGTGACGCGGTCAGCTATTGAATGATTCATTCAGACCAAGTACTGTTGAGCCGAGGACATTCATGTCGGGAGGTCGTCATAGTATCAGCTCTCGAGAAACTCGGATGCGTCCAGGAAGTGTACGAGATGTGGTATTAGTTGCGTACCAGGTAATTGCAAGAGTCCGCGGTGACGTGACGTGGTCAGCTATTCGCCTAAATATTGCTGCGAGTCGAGTCGAGCGGAGTTAAGAGGGTGTTACGAGTTGACAACACTGTAGTTAAGGTGTCGTTGATTTCGACTCCTGAGGACTTTGGGCGCGTGCAAGGACAACATTGTTGAATTTCCACATCGTCGAAGTAAGGCGTTTACATGGAACCCGAGAAAACAAACGCGTACGTAGGATACACGTGCACAAAATGTCAACGAATTTAAGGTTCAGCCTGAACTATAGTTTTCGGCTCTTTCCGAATCGAGCTCGTCAACTACCAAGTCCAATAAGCATATGATCTAGTAGTGCTGGAATTGCAAGGCGTTAGGACCCCAAAGTTTGGTTGTCAAGAGGAGAGGATGTGCAGCTCGACCAAAGAGGCGATTCGGCGTGGTTAGGAGTTCATTCGGCCAGCCGAATCAGGGGCAAATTCGGAAGGTTGGCAAGCGAATAGCCAAAGTCACTATGGACATGAGCGAAGGCAACGTCCAATCCAGAAGAGTAACGAGATAGCAAATCCAGTTGCGTTAGTCCCATGCCAGGTAAAGCTAAAGGTTTTGAAGAACTCTGGACATGTGGATAATGGAAGGGATCAAAACCCCTGTCAACGTTGACTTGAGCATCATGGGCATATATAGGTCCAGTCCAGAAGCTTACGCGATAGCAAATCTAGCTGCGTTGATCGTGTGCTAGATAATTTGGGACCCCGGGGTCTGGCTTTCGGATCATATCATTTCTTGCAGAGGGTGAACCGTCATCCCGATCTTAGAGGGATTTTTGCCCGACGAGAGCCTTGAATAACGTAGCTCGACACACCGCCTCCTGATCTTACATGCCTATCTTGGTCCCTCACCAGATTGACTATACAGGCCTATCGCTGCCGGCGGGATTTTAGCCATGTGATGTAGTTTAAATTATTACGCGGGGTTTGGATGAGGCGGAGGAGCACTGAGGGATTTTGGCCATTAAAAATATTTGGTGAAACCGGTGTGAGACATGCTAGTTCGGATTATGGTGCGGGATTTTCGCCGTTTGTGAGTTAGGTTTTGGAAGCTGCGGGGTAAAATACCTACCCCAGCGGCAGAACTTAGCTGGAGGGATAGGGGCGCATGATTGCGCACGGACTATGTTCGTATCACCGACGGGGCGGGGTACGGACACCGCCTGAACTGTGACATCCAGTCACGACAAGCAGGCACTACGCTGTGCCCATATGATTATAGAAAATTTCGGAAAACCCATTTCGGCGTGCAATTTTACAATATGAACAGGATATACTCACAGATGGCCGCAACACATCAAACTCGGCCCGTTCCGCAGCCCTTTGACAGTATTGCTGTGGAATGCCGTACATCCTGTTCATCTAAACAACAGAAGTATCCCACTGACTTGACAAGCGTTGCCTTCGATTGGCAAGATTCTCAGGGAATTAGGCACATGGCCTGGCGCTGTCAGAATCTTCGCGGGTTAAGGGCATGAGATCACCTGATATGCAGAATGAGCTGAGGAGGATCATTAGTGAACACAAATGGCAGATTAATGTCTCGCTTACCTTGTTCTCGACTTCTAGATGGACCATGTGAAGAGAGAGGATACTTGATTTCTAGATCTTGCTCAGAAGTTGTTTTGAAAGCGTTGGTAAGTATGATGTGAAAATATTGCGAATACGAAGGACATGCCGTGACTCACTTGTAAGCCGCCACAATGCCAGGCTGACGTGAACCGTATGAGCTCAGCAGGACTGATTGATTAGTACTATATCAGACAAACACTGTCAGCAAACACATAATGCATAGGGGCTGATTAATCTGTGCTTGCATGAACACACGCGTCTTGATATATGAGTAACTGATACCACAAGGCTAGGGATACATTAATACACACACAAATGAAATGAAACACGCGTACGATAGGCAATATTATGGAACATGACTCGACACAAGCGAATGAGGACCTTGGACACTTGCCATCCGGAAATCCAATTCGAGTAGGCTGACTCCTTTGCGGTGGTTGTACGCGCATATGCGGGCCACGATGGAAGGCACTGGCCGATCGACCAGATAGGCACCTTGTACGTGATTCCATTACCAAACCGAATATTTGGTAAACCGTTGAGATACTACCACGTATTCGATAATTTATGATGGCGTGGCCTGCATCTAGACTGCTGCCTGCAGGTCTTGGCAGTTTCAATGAGTGCGCGCACATGCTGGTGCATTTGGCACATGAAGTTAGGCATTCCCCTAGCAGTCGGATCTGAGGGTGTGTGAACGCTACCACTCCTGATTGCCTCGTGGGTAAAGTGCCGTACGCTCGCCGTGGAGGGCTGAGGTAGAGGTACCCTATGCTGAAGCGAGCCTAATAGCAATACGCACAAAAATATCCGAGATCACCGGTTAGCTCCCACAGGGATGCGCGCCGGACAATACCATGTGATACCTTGTATCTGTTGATGCGTACGTGAACCACAAAAGAGGATGAGTCACCCTCGTGGCGTTTCACTAACTCGGAGCTTTAGAGTCTAGATCTTCATGATAAAT